CGCAGGAGGCCCGGGTTCGATTCCCGGCGTCGGAATACTTTTTTTTCCTAATATGAGATAAATCTTATAAGATGTTTCTATTTAATATGATTGATAAAACAATCGTTAAAACTATTTGTTAAATAATTGTTATTTGTATATTAGATGAAGGTGAATTAGGCACGGTAGATTTATTCGTTCTAGTTGAATGAATCGAAAAGAAGAAAGAAAAAAATAGATACTACCTTGAGTGTCTCCTTCGTTTTTCTTGTATATTTATTTGTTTGTTACTCATACTCGTGTATAGAATATAGTGTCAAATAACAATGTACGATAACTTCCAACAACCACCTCCTTATGAACCTCTATCAGGTAATTTTTATACACAACCTGTGTATTCTAATCAATATGAACAAGCTCCATATATTGATAATACATATATGAATCAACAATATCAACCGACGTATCAAGCAGTTTCTCAGCAACCAACTCCGGTATATCAATCAGTACCTGAACAACAACCACCTACTTATGCAATGGCTGTTCAATCACCCGCACCCTCAGCACCTGTGATGCAACAGCCTACAAATAATAATTCGAGTAAAAATCTATTTTTTTTATTACATCAGTCATTGTTGTTTATTTTTTAAGTTGCATCAGGAAATAGTTCAAGACCACAAGGAACACCATTTTCTAAAGGTTATAAATGGCCACGTAAATCAATAGGTCTTGTTTGTCCACAATGTGGTGCAACAGTAACAACACGTGTGGAAACGTCAATTACAGTTATTACTATTATTGGAGCAGTTATATTATGTATATTTACTTGTATTTTAACTTGTTTACCATTTTGTATTCCAGCGTGCAAAAGATCTACTCATTATTGTCCTTATTGTAATAGTGTTTTAGGTATACGAAGTCCACTTCGATAATAAATATAACATTTAATTTATCACATTTGATTTTTTGATTTTTTACAAAAAAAAAATTAATACATCCTCTGGAATGAGTAGTTATGATTATAAAAAAAATATATAAATAATTGTACTGAAATAGATTTCGATTGAGATTAATTATCAAAATCATCAACATTAATTCGCATTGTATTTTGTGGTGATCTTCGACGTCCACTACTTCCATTTTGTTGATTACGATCATTATCAGTTCGATTTTTTTCACGATTCATTCGTTTTTGTTCTTTTTCAACATCAATGTCTTTTCGTTTTATTTGATCAAATTCTGTTTCGAAATCTTCACCTGTTAAATTTTCACCTTCAAGTACACCAATAACAGTAAAATCAGTTAATTTATATGGTTCATGTTTAAGATTAACATTAGTTATTTTCGTTTTTTTAGTAGTTGCTGACGGATCAATAATCATCCATTGTCCACGATCAGAGAAATAACGGGCTAGTGTTATTTTAATTATGTCATTGTTTAACAATGATTTTAAATGAGATAAAATATGTTGTTCCAAATAATCATATTTGGCAATTGCATTATCTCTTAATGGTAAAAGTAATTCAAATTTATGTTGAAAATAATTATTAGTATTATCTTTTAAATAAACAATATTAAGGAGTAAATCTTTTTTTGATAAATATTCTGGATGTGGTAAAATTTCAAAAGCATACGAACATAAATCGCGTACTTTTGCTTGTCTAAATAAAGGCAAAAACAAAATATATACATTTTTAATTTTTATTTGAAAAAAAGATTTTCTCACTTGAGAGTGGTTAATACAGGCTCATGGACGATTGTTGTTGGCTGATTATCATCAATATCATAAAGGCGAATAAATTCTAATGGCTGAGTATCACTTGTATAATTCGATGGAACTTTGAAATCAATTAATTTAGCTATACGTTCACGAAGAGCATTAAATGAAGAGGTAATTGGTAATTCAAAACGTTGTGTTAATTCAATCATTTCAAATTTTGGTCGAGTATGAACTAAAAAGTAAAGAATATGTTTATGTACTGAGTTTTTAGAGATATTGATAATGTTTAAATAGCATATATGAAAGCCTGAATAATACATTAATTATTCGATTAGACAATTTTATTTTCTACAAAAAATCTATTAAGTTCAATGCTCTTCAAAGGAATCATCAACTATTAAGATACAAGCATAGTGCAATCTTTAAGATTTCTGTTGATCGTAACCGAACTGAAAAAGTTTGGTCTATGTTAGTTATTGTCTTAGGAGATATTAGAGAATATTAAAACGGCCTTTTTCAAATAAAATTTCTTCATACTCGCTTCATTTGGTTTGTAATATTGATTAATAATTTTGAAAACTTTTAATCGAATATGATTTCTTGGTGCAATACTACCAGATCTTATGGTTAACTGAGCACCATTCGTAAGTCCATTAACTAAAAGTGTTTGATCAAAATCATTCAATGGTGAACCATCATTAATCAATGTTGATTTCATTTCACATAAATGATATTCATTATCATTCTCTAGTAAAAGTAAAAAACGAAATATCATTTCTATTATGACAAAATTCAATTATTTTCTATTTTACCATCCATATTTAATTTTTGTTTTATTAAATTCCATAAATCAGTTAATGTCATACTATAATCAACAATAAGTTCCAATAAGTTAGGTTCTCGATCAGATTGAATACAAATCATAAGATCATTTTCTTTCAGTGCTTGACCAGATTTTAAACAGAGATTTGTATTGTTTTCTCTAAAATTTATTGTATCTACTGTTTGATGATCATATACTAAAATTAAAAAGAAAATGATGAATTTCTTTTTAATATAAAAATGAGACATACGAGGAATATCTGCTAGATCAGAATCATCATCAATATATAATCGACACATAGATGGATCTAATGATAAACCAAATGCTTGAATTGCCATTAATTTAACCTCTCCAATGAGCTAGAAAGACAAAAGCCAACTTCATTGTCAAAAATGAACTTTTTTTTCTCAAAAACATACTGTTGTATTCCAACAACTACATGTCATTGGTTTTGTATTTATTGTATCAATATTATTTTTAATAGTTAATGATAAATGATTTTTTCCTGTATTTGCAATATTTGATGAAGCATCTTTCCAACTTGGTACACTAGAATATAAATTAAATAAATAAGAAAATATTTTTCCAATAGAATACAACTTACAATGAATTTTTATTATCAATACCTAATGTATCACCATCATGTAAATATAATTGTGCTAATGTTTGTTTTTCTTCATCGATTTTATATTCTCGACGTGATTTACGATTATTTTTTTCTTCTAAATTTAATTTACCCATACGAACTTGTCTTAAAATTTGTGGATCATCATATTGATAAAAATCACGAAATAGAATTTCTTTTAATTCAAATAATGTTGTATTTTTTGATACATGTCGAATAGTTTGTAAGCGTGATGCATGAATATGTGCATCAGGAAAACCATAGACTATATTTAACATAATTGGTTCAAATTCTTCACCTTGTATAACTGTATCAGGTAATATCGATGGATATTTAAATACAATTATATTAGGATTATTAGATAGATCATTTTTATCTAATGTTATATTATCATCTGATACATTTTTTAATTCACTAATTATATGTAATTGACCAGAACGAAGTTTTTTAGCAATATAAAAATGACTGTCTTTACCATAAATATCCTAAATATAAAGAAATATAAGAAAAACAAGAATTTTTAAAGCATCAATACCTTAAAGTTCGAGATAAATTCATTAGTTTTTGTTCGTTTATCAAACTTATGTTCACCATATTGATCAGGAAAAAGTACTTGATTATTACTATTCAAATTTAATCGACAATTGTCAATGACTTCAAACCATTCACTTGGATAAATTATTACTGATAATTGATTTTGATGTTTATCATATATTTCTCTATAGACAAGAAAGAAAAAAATAGAATTACTTTTGTATGTTCATTCTATTTAAAAATCTACCGTTTTT